GCCCAACGTGGGGCGAGGGCAGTCAGGGAAAGATGCCAGGTCTTCCTACCCCCAGCACAGCTGGCACTCGTGGCACTTCTTAGGGGGCTCCTCTAGAGATGACACACCCCTGTACCCTGGCCCCATGCAAGGGCCTAGGAGATGACCACCATCTACTGTGGCTATGATGGTCTTAGCAGTTGAGGGCCAGCTCTGAGTGCCCGTCACTGGTCTGGGCCATGAGGGCCTGAGATGCTGCTTCACTCCTGGAGCAAGAAGGCTGCAGGCCTCAGAACCGTATGGGGGGCAGGGGATTCCAGTCTTTTTTTTGCCTCTCACCCTTAGCTCTCCTGGGTTGGGACTACTGGGTACAGATGTATTTGCAAGCATACACAGACTAGAAGGACCTATTAATAAGACTCTATTACCATGTCAAAGTACTTGATTAATCATTTAAAAAGAGCTGTGCAAGTAAAGGTTTCAGATGTTGGACTGAGGCTGACTGAGAAATGGAGCCTTCACCTGAGAAGGCCTCTTGCTCACATTTCTTGCAGGTCATTCCTGCCTATGGGGACAGAAGTCCCACTTGCCCCACTGCCTGCCCAGAACCAGGTTTCTGAATAGACTGTGCGAATGTCACCTCTGGGGTTGTACAGTATAGTAGTCCTAGATCCTAGGACCAAGGGCACTACAGTTGGCCAAGGTTGCAGTGGGCACTGGTGGCCCTGGAGAAGATCCCAGGGCTTGGTGGACAGGAGACTGCATCCCTCCTGGCACCTTCCATCTGTCTTCTCTGCACAAAGGCAAGAAGGTGGGTGGGGGTGTCCCTGCTAGAAGCTGCTCAGCTCTTCCCAAAGCTACTGTGCATCCAAGACCCAAAGCTTCCCCAGGCCTTTCTGACCTAGTCTGGGCCTCTGGGTCACTCCTGCTGCCCATACACCTGTCCCCACATGTTCCCCACCCCTCTCGCGCTTGCATCACATGGCAAAGCTCTGGGTACCTGCCGCTCTGCAGGCCACGCACTGGGCTGGGGCTGAGAATATTGAGGTTTGGTTCAAAGGGCTGACTGGGTAAGAGAGGCAAGTCAGTGAAGGGACCCTTGGAGCTGATCCCACCCCAGCTGTAGTCCCCTGGGAATAGAAAATCCCTTCAGCCCCCCTTTTTAAAATTTTTTTTTTTATTTCAGCATATTACAGGGGTACAGATGTTTAGGTTACATATATTGCCTTTGCCCCACCCCGGTCAGAGCTTCAAGTGTGTCCATCCCCGAGATGGTGCGCACCGCACCCATTAGGTGTGAATATACCCATCCCCTCCTCCCCCCTCCCATCTGCCCGACACCAGGTGAATGTTACAACTGTGCACTTAAGTGTTGGTCAGTTAATACCAATTTGATGGTGAGTACATGTGGTGCTTGTTTTTACATTCTTTTGTGATACGTCACTGAGTAGAATGGGCTCCAGCTCTATCCAGGATAATATAAGAGGTGCTAGATCACCGTTGTTTCTTATAGCTGAAAGTACTCCATGGTACACATATACCATATTTTATTAATCCACTCATGTATTGATTGATGGGCACTTGGGTTGTTTCCACATCTTTGCAATTGTGCTGCTATAAACATTCGAGTGCAGATGTCTTTTTTATAGAATGTCTTTTGTTCCTTTGGGTAGATGCCCAGTAATGGGATTGCTGGATCAAATGGTAGTTCTACTTGTAGCTCTTTGAGGTATCTCCATATTGCTTTCCACAGACCTTCAGCCCCTTCTTGCATGGTGCCAGGGTATGTAGACTCCTACTGGCTGAATAGGATGGTGTGCAATAGTGAAATGGGAGGGTCAGCCTTGTGGCTTATGTTTATGGAAGGAAGCCATCAGAAGGAGCTGGAGCCCAGCCTTTGTCCCCAGACTGGCCACAGGGGGGCACTTGATCCCCAAGAAGGAGCTCGACCTGAGCAGCCACTGCAGGCACCAGAACCTCTTCTGGGGCTAGGCATTGACTGCTGCACTTGCCTGGAAAGGCAATACCTGCTCCCAACCCCTACTCCTTGTTCTTTTGATCCCTCCCCTTTTTTTCTTCCTTTAAAAAAAAAACTTTTATTTTTAAACAATATTCAATTAGAGAAGAGTTGCAGAGGTAGTTGTTTCTGCATACCGCTAACAGCTGACATAGTCATGGTTCTCCCCGTGTTATGCTCTGGCCCATCTTTGGGTATGGAACTCCTGGGTTGAGGCCGTCTCTGCCCCAGCTCCTGCTGTGTGACCAGTGCTGCCAGCTAAGCACATGGGGCTACTGGCTTCAAGTACCCAGGGTGTCATGGCCCAGGACTCCAGCAGTGTGGAGTGCCAGGCAGGGTAGCGTAGGAGTTCTCAAGTTCCCCCATCAGGAAGTGGGGAGTGACTGGAACGGTGGCAGAGCAGAAGTTGAGAGGAAGTGAGGCCCCTGGGGCGGGCCAGGATCCTGGGGCAGAGACTAGGCTGTGAGGTTCCGAGCGGCAGGCACCCTCCAACGTGCAGTGCGTGGGACCCTATGGAGGTAGAGCATCCGGAGGTAGAGATCTTCCTTAGAAGATTCTCCTGGGCCAGTCTCCCCCATGCTTTGGGTGACTGAAAAGCCAGGAAAACACAGGTCACCCTCACCTCCAGACCCACTCTGTCCTCAGCTAATTATAGGGGCAAAAGTCATAAGGGTTTGGGAAGACTTGGTGCTCCAGGCAATAACTGACTCGGGTTTCTAAGGTGTGTGTGGGCACTTCCACCCCCGTCATGGCTCACGCACCCTCTGGTTTGAAGTCCTCTGTTGTGTGGTGACTGACTGTTCCTAACCTCTGTAGGCATCGTCTGGGAGTAATGAGCTCAAAGTCCCCACTTCCCCAGGTTGCAGAGTGTTATGTGAAAGAAGCCCCACAAGGTCAAACTTGACTAAACTGGAGGAGAAGGGTGATGGGGGAGGAAAGACCGGGACATTTTCGTTTCCCTGACATAGCTGCTCGAGCTTCAGTGGTTCCGACGGGAGAGAAAGGCATGGCTGCGCTTGGCCCTGGCTCAGAGGGGTGGGGACAGAGGGCAGCAGTGAGTCGGATGTCCCGATACCACACAGGGTGGCTGTGAAGATGGAGTGGCCCACCTCTGGACAGCCCTGAGCACGGGTCCTGGCGCTTGTGAACCCCTCAGTAAGTGACAGCTTGAGAGAGACTTAGGACCTCTCACACAGCAACCAACCTCGGGCCAAGTCTCTGGCCTGAAGCCCCGGGAAGGCCTGCGAGTGAGTCAAGCGGCTATTTCTAGAGCTGGTAGGGGAGGGGGCCCTTCTGTCCCAGGGGAAGGAGTTCCAATCCTCTGGCAGGGAGAGTACAAGAAAAGAGTTATTCAGGGGGGTCTGCAGCCATTGTATCAGGTTTCCCTGTCCAAAGCTGCCCCACGCAGGATCTAGGGAAGCTAGGGACATGAACAGGCCATCCAGACAAATGGAGGTGACACTCTGCCTGGCTTTCCTGCTGCAATGACCCCACAGCCCGGGGTGCTCGGGGCAGGCTCTGACTAGGTGTGTAAGAGGACTTTGCTATAGTCCCAGTCACCTCTGTGCTCTTCCTGGTCCCTTTTCTATCCCCCTTAGACCTGAGCAAGATGGGCTTGCCAGCAGCTTTAGAGCCATCAAGGCCTGGATTCAGATCATGCCCTCTCTCTAAGCCTCGAGTCCCTTACTCATGAAGTAGGAATGACAGTAATATCTATCAAGGTCACTGTGAGAACTAAATGAGGTAACGGACCTTATTCTGAAGCCTCAGAATAAATGGGTCGTACGTCCTCCCCCTCTGACCACATTTCCCTGGTGGTGGGTTCTCGCCCAGACCCAGAGCAGCTTGTGTGCGCTGCTGAGCAAGGCCAAATGAGAGTAGGCCGGGATTACACCTGTGCTGTGAGAGGAGGAAAAGGGACATCTCTGTGGAGTGGAGGGCGACTGATATGATGGGAGGACTCGGGAAAGCTTCCCACTACCCCAGCCCATTCTAGCTACAACACCAGGCTCCAGAGAGAGAAGCTGCCAAGAGAGGAGGTATAAAAATAGATACAAAATACAAAAATAACGCTGAAAGAAAACTGCCAGCAGACTGGTTTAATTTATCAGATTCAAGCATTCACGAACTTTGAAACAGTTTTAAATCCTCACTGCTTACGAGTTTGATGATGGCTGCTGTTTTGAGATTTTTTTAAAAAAGTGGCCACAGATTATCAGCCATTTAAAATATGTCCTTACGTTAGTAAGAGAAGCTAATGCCGGCCGAGAGTCAGCTGACAAGTAGTGGGTGGTTGGGGTCCTTCTTCACCTATGGATTTGCTTAGCACTCAGAGCTCAAACCACACAGCACCCAGTAATCCTGTCCCATGGGGCCAGTTTTCATCCCTGCCTGCCTGACACAAAAGCTTTGTGTATCCAGCCTTATATTCCATTAAAAAAAAAAAAAAAAAAAAAAAAAAAAAAAAAAAAAAAAAAAAAAAAAAAAAGCTTTGTGTAAAAGCATTTAGAGGTTGGGGGGCACATTCTGAAATTGTGTATTCCCATGTATGAAAAACCTAGGCTCTTGGTGGTTCTTTTAGGGCTGAAAGCTCCCATTTATAGGAGATTTTAATTCCCATTCCTCTCTCTTGGGTGGTGGCTTAACTGTATCTGAAGAAATGCCCCCCAGTTCCCCTGCAGGGTAGAGGACATAATGCTACCTGGTCTATAAACCAAGTAGAATTAGCCAACTCCATCTGCCTTGGTGTGGGGCCATTCTGTAGTTCCCTAGTACTTGTCCCTGCGAGGATAAGCGTGTCCTTCGTAGAGTAGTAGGAGGGAAAGGAGCTGGTGAGCTGAGCCACCCTTCATTCATCGGCATCAGCAATGACAGGAGCCAAGAGGCTGCACCAGTCTGCTTGATGGCTCCTCCTGTAGCCCTCCCTTAGTCCAGACAGGCTAACTTTGTAGGCCTGAGGTTTATTCCAGTTAATTCTCACCACCTTCTCCCCTTCTCCCTCTAGTGTATGTGGTGGAAGACCAAAGAAGAGACGACCTGGGATCATCCAGCTGCCTTACAGCCTGCTGGACTGCTCTGTGTTGCTGCTGTCTCTGGGACATGCTCACCTGACCAGGCCAGTCCTCCTGTCCTGCCAGCTCTGCCACCACCTCCAATAGGTGTGCCAGCCCCCATCTCTTCTGATTGCTGTAATAAATGACTAGCTCTGCACGGAAACCTCTACTTTCAGCACCATGGGAATCTAGATTAGTGGGGGTTGCTGCTGTTTAATTCAGTGACTTGATCTTTTTGATGTTCGAAATACATTTCTTATTGATCTTTAACAAATGTGCTAAATGATTTCTTTTATTGGCCAAAGGCTTAGTTATGAAATATTTATGATTTTAAATTACACATTCAAGGTAGTGGCAAAATGTAACAAACCACAGAATAATTTTTCTCTGCTAACACTAAGTTTCAATAAATTCGTCCAAACCTCACTTGTCTAAATTATTCCAGATATAATCTAAGCTACCCTGAATCTGTTTCTATGTCTCCTGGACTCTCATTTCTAATTACGCATCTGCTCACTGAGGCTAATGGCCACTGTCCAGTGTCTGACGAGAAGTCCATCTGTACCTTTTCATTCTGCTATTAGCCAAATAGTGCAGGTGCTATGGTCATGTGGCACCTGGCTAGCATTCTCTCCCTGTCACACTCGGAGATGGGCTCAGGCGGGAGCATTTGCCACCTCAGCTCATACCTGCCTTTACCCAGAGCCCAGGAGAAGGGCCTTGCTCCCGGGAGTCCATAGTCACATGGGTCCAGACCAGAGGCTTTCTTTTTCCTGTGGTTCCCCCCCAACCCCTCACCCCAAACTAGTCAGCCACACCACTCATCTTTGGCCACAAGGTGGCACTGACCTGCCACAGCAGCAAGTCAGATTTTCCTGCCTGCCCGGCCCCGCCCACATGGAGAGGCTGCCGTTGACAGCTCCCTGCGCCCTCTGCCTGCCTTCCCTCTGAAGCAGTGGTGTGCTGATAAATGTCCAACTACCAGTTCTCTCGGGGGTGGGGGGACCATGAATGCCCCCACCATGTCACGGCTGATTTCAGGCTACCAACAGGATGGTGCGTTCCTGTGCTTGCTTCCCAGCTCCATTATGTGCTGTTTTCACCACCCAGATGCAGTACTATTAACCTCAGAGTTAACAGATAATGGTCAAATGTAGTAATTAGGAAGGGATGAGTTCTGAATATCATCTTTCTTTTTAACATAATTTGCAGATTTACATAATCTTTAATAATGGCTGTGTTTAACAACTGGCTTGCAACAAAATTTCTGAAAACTGAATAATCAGCCCTCCTGAGCTGGGACAAGCCAGCTAGCACACCCATCTTGGCCCCAGAGCCTCTAGGAAGCCTCAGGATTACAGTGTCCATCTTACGATACTGGCCAAAGGGAGACAGTCTTGGAGATGCTGCTTATTATTGAACTTTCTTTTGGGACGTTGAGAAAGCGGTGGGGAAAGGAATCTTTAGGCGGACTGCTATGCTTTCTTCCTCATCTGCATATACCATTACATGGAGGCCCGGGAGCTGAGGAGGTTAGTCAAAGGTACAGAAGGAGAAAAAAGAGGATGCGATCCCACTCCCCAAGGAAGGAAAGGCTCCAACGCAGAGGGAACGGGAGCTGAGGTGGAGACGGCCACTGCCTCTCTCGCTCTGTTCTCAGCCCTCGGCTCGAGAAAAGCAGACTTAGCAGGGTGGGACGGGTGCCTTTTATTGGTCTGGTCAGTGCGTGCAGTGGCAGGCTCAGGGGGAGCTTCCTTCTCTGTCCTGGCTCTCATCTTCCCTCTCCTGGGAGTTTGCAACTCACACCAACAAAGAGTGTCTAGGCAGGGTGGCAGGCAGAGCCAGGGTGAAAATTACAGGATTGAGATCTGAAAGGGCTCACGATTTATGTAGAAAATGTGAGGTTGCTAGGCCACCCAGATGAAACGTCCGTCAGAGCAGGGGTCAGAAGGAAGAGCTTTCCCTGGAGGCTCCCTACTGGGCCCTTCGTGCCATCAGCATCTCCCGGATGTTGTCTTCAGCTTCCTTAACGCTCCGTTCCAGGTAGGATTTTTTCTGCTGCAATATGAGAAAGAAACAAGGGTTAGGACCAGGGTGAATGGGCCAGGCTGGCAGGCCCAGGCTTTATGCCCAACGGTTATGGCTTCTCTTTAGTGATGAGCAACTTCAGGGAGCACATTGTCTAGTGGGAGCCAGGGGTACACTCCTGCCCTAATGTTTCCTCACCTCCGGCCCATGGGCAGAGTGAGAGGGTGGCTTGTACAGGAAGCAGAGGTGCTCTTCCCCCAGAAGGAAGTGGACTCTGAAAACAGGCATCTCGGTACGTGAAGTTATACCAGACAGACAAAGGCCAGGAAATTCCAGAACAAAGCTCCTGCCCCATAACAGACTATCTCCTTTCACGGTTTTCCATGGCCCGGGCCAGGCGCCTGCAGCCACCGTGGACAGAGCACCCTCTGCTCCGGCCGGCGAGGCTGCGGCAAGCGTAGCACACGCTGCACTGAGGCAGATGACTCAGGATGAAAGCGGCTTTTCCAACGATGATGCTGCTGCTGCCTGCCAGGAATCCAGGCTGGTGACACACTGTATAAAACAGACCTCGTGGAAGTTTACCTCCTACCACATCTGGGTCCTAGATTACAACTCTCAATTTACACAAAGAACTTTTACTACTTTCAGGAGCCACATCTGGGCCGGGATTACAGAAGATTAGTCAAAGGAAATGATGTCTGTACATGATTTGCCCTGTGCTCACCACACAAGTATGGTGGCTTTACCACTGGTCCCTGCCCTGAGGACACAGTTATGGCTGTGTTCCCACTTATGGACACGAAATGAAGGCTCTCTTTTTAAGGAATGTTACTCATGGCCTGAAGGAATACAATTATCACCTCCCAGGGCACATGTGGACTGAGCCACACCAGAGCCAGCAATGCCCGTCTGGCCCAGGCAGCCCAGGTGTCCTCTCCTACCCCCTTTACCCCAGCAGCTGGATACTCAGTGGACCACTGAAGTGCCCACAGGACTCGGGGGAGCCGGGGGGTGCTGAGGGCAGGCGAGCTGCGCATCGCTGCTTCAAGTGGCACCACAGCCTGGTACGGCAGGCCTCGCTTGGGAACTGAGCCCCAAGCTCTGAGACAGGAAAATCAAAATGAATGCCCCACTCCTTGCCCTCACCATCAAACCTCTCTGAAGCCTTCTACGGATCCCTCCCTCCAACTTACCCCCTCTCTGTACAGATAGTTATTAAATATCTCTGTTAATAACTATCTCTTTCCAGATAGTTACCCACTGAGGGGTTTTTCCTACAGGAGCCAAATGTCGTGGCATACACAAACCGTTATCAGTTCCTTCATGAACCTCTGATTCCTGCTTGTCCTCTCCTACCTTCAATTTCCTGAAGACTAGAAAGAGCACCCTTTCCCATCTCCCATCTGTCCAGCGCTCACACAGTTCCTTACAACACATCGGGAGCTCCATAAAAACTCACAGTGAGCACAGTGAGATAACAATTCAATGGCCATAAATGTATGTTGTTGCTGAGGAATTTTGTCTAATTACACTGCTAACCTGATATAGTCCTATAACTGTGGTATCAGAGTGAGAACTTAAACTTCCTTTGACAAACAACTCTTAGACTTTACCTGTGGTGAGTTGAAAAAAGGCAAATACTAGTAACTGCTGACGCACCACTGAAGAATGTACGTGCATGGGTACCACACAGAGGGGAGCAGCAGCTCAGCAGTGCCATGTGCCACCCAGGCACCATGTGGGTTCCAGCCCCACAAGACTGCAGGGGAAAGGTTAGTGCAGTGAGCCGGCCTCTCCCCTGCAACAGCCAGCCAGTGCCCAGGCCACTGGTCTGCTGCATCCAGTCTCTGCCAACTGGTTGCCACAGCTGGCAAACCATAATCAGCAAGAGCTTTTCTGCTCTCCTGCCCAGGCCTCTGGCCAAATTCAGCTTTAAAAGTTCTTTATTCCTTTAGGTTTGGAATATGTTGCTAAGAAAAAAAATTATAGGCCAGGCACGGTGGCTCACGCCTGTAATCCTAGCACTCTGGGAGGCTGAGGAAGGCAGAGGTCAGGAGTTTGAAACCAGCCTGAGCAAGAGCGAGACCCCCGTCTCTACTATAAATAGAAAGAAATTAATTGGCCAACTAATATATATAGGAAAAATTAGCTGGGCATGGTGGTGCATGCCTGTAGTCCCAGCTACTCGGGAGGCTGAGGCAGGAGGATCCCTTGAGCCCAGGAGTTTGAGGTTGCTGTGAGCTAGGCTGATGCTCATGCTAGGCTCATGCTAGCCTGGGCAACAAAGTGAGACTCTGTCTTGGGGAAAAAAAAAATTATAATAATCAAAACATTTTAAAAAAATTTTTTTTTCTCTTTTTTTCTTTGACACGGGTTCTCGCTATGTCGCCCAGGCTGGAGTGCAGTGGCTATTCACAGGCGTGATCCCACTACTGATCGGCACAGGAGTTTTCACCTGCTCCATTTCCGACCTGGGCCGGTTCGCCCTTCCTTAGGCAACCTGGTGGTCCCCCACTACTGGGAGGTCACAATATTGATGCCGAACTTAGTGCAGACACCTGATCAACGTAGCGCACTACAGCCTCCAACTCCTGGGCTCAAGCGATCCTCCTGCCTCAGCCTCCTCAGTAGTTGGGACTACAGGCACGCGCCACCTCATCCGGCTAAAAATTCTTTATTCTTTAACACCTCTTCTATATTTTCATGAATTTTACCCACTGCATATCCTAAAGTCTTCAAGTTTCAAAAAATGCAAATTAACTTACCTATCTTTGTTTTTATTATTATTTTTTAATACTAATAAGCCAAGAGCTTTAGTGATGCACCAGGTACTTTACAGCAAACGCCAGAGTGTCCACCTTCTCTGGGAAGACAGGATGTCTGTACAAACTCAGGTTTTTTCCCACTTCAACAACAAAAAATAAGCTCTCCCTTTTACCACAGCCCTTCGATCTGCACCTGCCCAAACTGTCCCTCCCCCGGCGCACACGGGTACCCCTGACCGACACCGGCCTTTCTGGTCAACAGTTGAACTGTCAGTTCTGCGTTACTCGCAAACTCTCAGATCCCACAAAGGATTTAGGAAACAATAAGATGATTTCTCCTTCTATCTTGAAAATAAAATATATTTCAGTGGCTACATGTCCTGAAGTAGTTTAGTTGGGAGTTCATAGGAAGATGGTCCATTGTCAGTCCCTCCTCACCAGCCTGCAGTATCCAAAGTTCTTCTCAAGGTAACATGACTCTTTTTGTTTTGTTTTGTTTTGTTTTAACAGTCTTTCTTGCTGTAACAGAGCCTAGTGCTCTTACTGCTAAGGCCTTTTCACCTCACTGAAGTAACACTGCACTGCTATTTTCTGAGAGTTTTAGGTACAAGCCATAGAGATTCAAGGAAG